TCCCATGGAACCTTGGGCTGACCAGGGGACTGCCTGAGCGGATTCCACCAGGTAACAGGGGCAGGCCAGCATAATGCCTGAACCTTTCACCAACAATCAATGGGCATTAATATCCCTAAACGTCAATGGTCTTAATCTTACCCATGAAAAGATATAGGCTAACAGAATGGATACGAAGACTGGATACAAAGACAGAATCCATCCTTCTGCTGTTTACAAGAAACACACCTCAACTTCAAAGACAAGCGTTACCTCAGAGTAAAAGGTTGGGAAAAGAGTTTGCAATCAAACGGGCCCAAGAAACAAGCTGATGTAGCAATCCTAGTATCTAGCAAATTAGACTTCAAACTAAAATCAATCAAAAGAGATGAAGAAGGGCATTTCATACTCATCACAGGAAAAGTCCATCAAGATGAAATCTCAATCGTGAATATCTATGCCCCAAATTCGAAGGCAGCCACATTTGTAAAAGAACCATTGCTAAAGCACAAACCATACATAAAACCACACACACTTATAGTAGGAAACTTCAACATCCCCCTTTCACCACTAGACAGGACCACCAGACAAAAACTTAACAAAGAAACAAAGGATCTGACAGAAATTATGACCCGACTGGGTTTAACAGAGATCTATAAAACATTCCATCCAAACAAAAAAGAATATACCTTCTTCTCAGTGCCATGTGGAACCTTCTCTAAAATTGACCACATAGTAGGCAACAAAGCAAACCTCCACAGTTACAAAAGAATTGCAATAACCCCCTGTATGTTATCAGATCGCCATGCCTTAAAACTAGAAATCAACACCAATACAAATTGCAGAAAACCTACATATTCGTGGAAATTGAATAACACCCAATTGCACCATTCCTGGGTCGAGGAAGAAATTAAAAAAGAAGTTAAAGACTTCCTAGAATTTAATGAGAATGTAGACACAACATACCCAAACTTATGGGACACTTTGAAAGCAGTACAAACAGGAAAGTTCATAGCACTAAGTGCCCACATGAAGAAACTGGAGAAAAGTCACACTAGAGAATTGACAGAACGACTGAAAGCTTTAGAACAAAAAGAAGCAAACTCACCAAGGAGGAGTAGATGCCAGGAAATAATCAAACTGAGGGCTGAATTCAATAAAGTAGAAACTAGGAAAACATTACAAAGAATCAATGAAACAAAGAGTTGGTTCTTTGAGATCAACAAGATAGACAAACCTCTATGCAAACTAACCAAAAGGCAGAGAGAGATCATGCTAATTAACAAAATCAGAAATGAAAAGGAGGATATAACAACAGACACTGAGGAAATCCAGAGAATCTTCAGGTCATACTTTGATAACCTGTACTCCACAAAATTCGAAAATCTAAAGGAAATGGACAGTTTTCTGGACAGGTATCACCAACATACAAAAATACATCAATGTAATCCACCATATAAACAAACTGAAACAAAAAGAAAAACCACATGATCATTACTAGGCCCGGCCCAGGATGATGTGGTGGTCTTTGAGGCTCTCCGTTGAGGGCCTTACCCTGCCTGGGTAGTGGAGGGTGGATGGGGTAGGGGGTAGGTAGGGGTGGGGTAGGAGGGGTGAGGGTGAGGGAGAGAGAGGGAGAAGGGATTGACATGTGAAACAAGCTTGTTCCTAATTTGAATTAATAAAAAAATAAAATATAAAAATAAAAAATAAAAATGCATGGATAAAGGGGCTGACTGCATGATTCACTGTGTCACACTGAAGCTTCCATGATGAGATTTTTCCCCGCAGATGAC